GAGTCGATTCTCGGAATGAATCGGACTTCTCTTCACTATCTTGCTGTAACGCTCCTCCCTATGCGTGACTGTATAGGAGTCATGTGCGGATTTGGTCCTCTGGGCCACCGTAGCGGCTGCCACAACCGGAAGTTTACGTTAGTGAGTCTTGAAGGGTGACAGCCCAATGCTAGACTGCACAGGATACCGCACTTAAAAAAAAATAAAACAAAAAATTATTACACGTACCGGCATTTCTGCGCACTGTATTAATGTAACATTTTAAGCATGGTTGCGGAGTTTTTAGTGATGTTGTATGAGTATTCTCCTCTCGTTTACGTTACTGTCATAGCAGTATGTTTCATTATCACTGTGGCTGTTGTGTTGGGCTGGTGAGTTCACATTTATAAGGATAAACTAGCATTTTAGTCCAGCGTTAGATGGTTTGGGTTAAGTATGGACTTTTGTAAGGTGTAAGGTGCATATCCCGTTAGCTAGTGCCCTCTTAAAATTAAAAAGTTGATGTTTACATTCTTAATCCGTGTCTAACTAACTTTGGTGTGGTCTGTCAAGGTTTGGATTTGATGTCCCGGTCATTTTACGCAGTTCAGATGAGACTGAATCTCTAATACCTGTCAATGAGAGGAAGATGGTGCAGGTGACCAATCCCATCGCTTTGGAGATGGACTCTAGGGCTGGTACAGTAACTGGTGAGGATCGAACAGTAACAGTGTTGAATCTATTTAAAATGAGTGAAATGGAGTCAGTAAGTGCATGTGTGTTCTCGTTTCGTCAGAGGGTGTGAGTTTGCGGCCGTATTGTCTTGAAGACTGCATCCTGAGCTGTTTTTGGGGTTGTGGGGTCCAGGCTCTCCAGGCGGCCCTTCAGAGGCACCAGTGTGGGCTCCGGCTCAGCACACCAGAGCTCTTTCAAGAGGCTCTGGAATTAAACTACCATCACCACCAAAGCTTCAAGTATCCTTTTCATTTGCCTTAGAAATAGCTCCGTAATAACATTTCACATCATCCTTGCAAGAGAAGAGGGGAAAGTGAGGTAAGCGGAGACACTTTTTCTTAGGTTTTCCTCTAGGTAAAGAAGAAAAATAGATTGAGGTGAGACTAATATGTATAAATATATAGGGAATGAAGGGGGAAAAACATTGCAGGACTGAAAATATGACTTCTTAAAAGGGGTCATATGATGCGATTTCAAGTTTTCCTTTCTCTT